TGATGGTATCCAGTACTTCTCGCATATTATTCTCAAATTTTTGTGCCATTTTCTCAGTCTTCATGGTGGATTTTTCTAGGCCAGCCATTTTCTCCTCTACATCTGAGATTCTATTTTCTGAATGATCTAGTCTGCTTTTAATACTTTCCAGGGAGATTTTTACTTCTTGTATTATAGACTTCATCTCTAGCAGTTCCGTTTGAGTCTTTTGTAAAGTGTGTAATTCCTCTTTTAGATCTTGCAGGAATTTCCTCATCTCCTGGAACTCGTCAACTTCTTTCTCCTTTCTCTTTAGCAGTTCATTATCTCTCTTCTCTTCCATCTCTGTTAGCTTTGACATTATGAATGCTCTAAATTCCTTATCAGACATTTCCATGATTTTCACTGAACTGCTTGTGGAAGAAGAAGAGTTACTCTTTTCCCTTGGAGGAGAGGTATTTTCTCGTTTTCCCATATTTCTCGTGATCCAGCCGTGATTTCTTATTATCTGATGGATGATGTGTTTCTTTCAAATTCTTGAAGTTCAGCCTGAATGTTCAGGAGCAAGCAGACAGAGGTGATCTAGAGTCTCTGCCGTTCTGTTGTGATTGCGCTAGCTCGTTTGCTGGAGGCTGAATTATCAGTAGAAAATCTTCATTCCCTGAAATATCTAGTTCGCTGGAGCCATGTCGACTTTTCTTTCTATCCCAACCTCAAATGACCTCTCCTACCTTGAAATTCATATAGAACCTATTACCTGTTTGCCTGTTAATGAGGTAGAATTTAAGCCTTAATTGTCTGAACTGTAAATCTGATATTGTACTCTCTTTTATGTGATAAGAAGTAGCATAGCAGAATGAGTTAAGAGCTGGGACTCCAGACCCATATTTCCTGGGTTTAAATCTTAATACGCTCATATCCTAGCTGTGTGATCTTAGGCAAATTACCTCCTCTCTCTGAGCGTTTTCTCTTCTGTAAAAACAGGTATTATTTGTTACACTGATCTTTTTCAGTGTTTGAGGATTAATGAATTAATTTACATAAAATGGGGTCAACACATACACATATGCCCGGTGTGTTTTTCAAGCCACCAAGGCCAGGACTTGAACCATGTGGTCAGCTATGTGGGACTTGACTTCCTTACCACCAGGCCATGGGGCTGCCCCTTCTTTTTTATCTCGATGTTTATTTACTTATTCCACAAGAGAAAGAAACAGAGACAGAGAGACAGCACCGCTAACAGGGTCTTTGAGGCCACAATCCACTCACAGCCTCATCCCGCCCTAGATCCTGGGCACGCACATGCCCGATGTGCTCAGGTAGGCATCCTAATTCCAACTCAAAACCTTCCCATGTGAATCATCCTCGCAGAGCACTGCATTCTACCTCTGGGCCACCATCTGGCCCACACTGCAAACAATTCTTGGTATGTAATATATTGTGCAAACATAAGCTGACTATCATGATTTTTGTCATGCCCTCTCTTTGAGGGCAGGAACTTTGTTGTGTTCTTCACAAGGCGTGGCCTCATTTTATGGTTATAGAATGAATACTTATTGATATCACTTAAATAAAGATAAAAATGAGCAATTCAGTAGAATAAGATCTGGAAGGATATGTGCCAGGGTGTTAGCAGGAGTGGGTGATCGAGATTGTAAGAATTGTTTACACTTTTTTTGTTTATCTTAATTTTATGACTTTTCCATAATGTATTATGTTTTACTTTACAATAAGAAATTATTGGGCCAGCCAAGTGGCGTGGTTGTTAAGCCAGCTGGATCCCATATGGCCTAGTGCAGGGTTCAAGTCCTGGACTTTGCAGCTTGATAAGCACACCAGGTCCGTGTACATGTGTGCCCACAATCCCGAGAGGAGAATGAATTGCTATGTAGTCATCCCCCTAGGGGGTGCATTCTCACTTTTTCTCTGTCTCTCTCTCCCTCTCTCCCTCCCCAATGAGCATACATGCCCTGTAGCAAATTTTTAAAAAAGAAGAAAGAAATAAATGATTATAACATTTTTTCCTTTAGATGGATAAGAAAAATGACCCAGGAAATTCACTTTCAGAGACAAGATAATATTTCGGAGTTGTTCATTGATTCTTGTAGACAAAACATTTCTGAACATTTTTCATTCTGCTTTCAATTTTCGCTATATCCCACATCAATTCTCTTTTTCTAATTTTGTTTTTAATGGTTACTATTTGAGTTTTTACATTTTTTAATTTGTTTTATTAATTGCCAAAAAGCCTGTGTGCTCTCCAGAAAGAGAGAGAGAAAAAAACACCCTTCAGTGGGGCCTGATCACACCACAATCTCTTCTCCATTTCACCATCCTATCAGGGTTGTGGGGAGTGCATGTATGCGCACATGGCAGGTATGTCTTTCAAGGTACAAGAGACTAAACTCAAACCACAATGGGCTAGGTGGGAATGACTCCCCTAGCCACTGGGCTACAGGGCTGTCCCAATAGTCAAGGTTTTGTTTTTGCTTTTATTTATGTTTTTTATTTCTTTTTGCTATAGGGCACATGTGCTCACCAGAGAGAAAATAAGTGAAAAATCACCCCACAGGGAGAATGGCCGTGCTGTAATCCCTTCTCCCATCTCCTCTTAGGATTTTGGGCCTGCATGCACACATACCTGGCATGATTTTCAAACTGCTGGGTCCAAGACTCGATCCACACAGCTGGCCATGAGGGATTCAGTACCTTAACCTCCATGCCACCTGCTTGCCCTGGTACTTAGGTTTTTGAAAATGCATAATGAGGGGGATACCAGGTAGTGCGGTAGTAAAGGCACTGGACTCCCACGTGACTAACTGCTGTTCGAGTCCCAGACTCAATTAGAAACTCATGCCAGACATGTGTGTCTGTGACCAAAATCCAAGGACGAGAATGGAGAAGAAGGGATTGCAGCATAGCCATTTCCCATGGGGGATAATTTCTCGCTTTCCCTCTCTCTGTCTCTCTTCAGCAAGTGCACATGCCCTATGGCAAAAACTTAAAAAGATAACAATTTTCAAAATAATAAAAATGCCTAATGAGGGACCAGCAGGTGGTGTGGTAGTTGAGGTGCTAGACTCCCACATAGCCTACCATGGTTCGAGTCCTGGACCTGGTGGTTTGCTTTCTCACTTTCCTTCTCTCTCCATCGCTCTATGGTAAGGACACATGTCCTATAGCAACTTGGAAAATAATCATAATAAATTAATTAAGTAATTCTTGTTTAAAAAAGCCTAATGTAATGTATTTTTACTTGATGACTATAATGATTATAGTGATTTGCATTAATGACTCTTGATTTGTTTGTAGCTTATGGTGCTGCTATCTGGAGTAATTGCTTTCATGGTGAACTTATCAATTTATTGGATCATTGGGAATACTTCACCTGTCACGTATCCTTTTTGTAATAACTTAAAATGTATAGTCCCATATTTTTCAAAATTATCACATTCATTATCTTACTTGAGTCTTACACAAACTTGCATTGATAGTAGAGTGAGTTATCTATTCCCTGCAAGGATTTAGAATTTTAAAGAAATGTGAACAGAGGAAGTGGGTTAGCGTTCTGTATCATTAATTTTTTTCATTTTCTTAAGTGATAGGTGTCTTTTCCCTCATAAAATGTAGTGGGATGCAGATAGTGGGATGAAATAAATACTTGTTGAATGATTACTGGAAGCTTTGGGGTTTCATCCACTTCTCAGTCATCTGTAGTAATAAAGAAGAGGTGTGCTTAATCCAGATAATGAAAGATATTTTCATGCTATTGGCATCTGACTTTGGAGAGTGTTTTTGTACTTTTTGGAAAGGGTGTGCCTGTTTTTCTCATTATTTCAAATCAAGACATGAAGTCATATGTTGAAGGTCTAATATAATTGCCCATTTCACCCTTCTGCTTGTCCTTCTGTTTCTCTTTGCCATTCACTCTGCCTCCATTCTCAGGCAAGTGCCAGATCAGAGAGGTAGTTCAGTAACGGTTTATCAGAGTGTCCTGATTTACATAGATGAGTGAATACTGAGGTGTCAACCAAGTAAGTAAGAAACACATTTGCTAGTTAATACCGGCAGCAATGACGATGATTTAGAAAAAAAAAAAAAAATGGCACTTAATAAATGTTCGTTTTCTGCCAGGTACTGTTAGAAACATGATGCATGTTTTAGCAGTTGTGTGAGGTTAAGTCTGTCATCAATTTTACAGACGATGACACAGAGGCACACCCAGGGTTTATGACTCACCCAAGGACACAGCTGAGAAGTGTGATGCCCAGATTTGAACCCATGCCATCTAATCCCAGAATTTTTTTTAATTTAATTTTATTTATTTACCATTATTATTATTTAATTTGTCTAGAGAGAAGCAGAGATAGAGAAGGAAAGTGAGAAAGCAAGCTGCTAGGTCTGAGACTTTAATTATGGTCAGCCATGTGAGAGTCTAGCACTTTAACCACCACACCACCTGCCAGTCCTCTGATCCCAGAATTTCTGCATCATGCTGTCAAATCAAGGCATCCGAGTGTGGCCTGATTAAAAACATTAATTCGTTCAACAAATATTTTTTCAAATACCCACAATAAACCATTCATTGATTTAATAAATATTTATACACTGAATATCTACTCTTATGTCAGACACTAAAGGTATAATAGTAAACAACTAGACAAAAATCTTTGTCCTTACAGGCTTTAATTCTGATGAGGAAGGCAGATTATAAATGAGAAAAAAGAATTTTTTAATGTACATATACAGCATCAGGTAGTATTATTAAGTGCCAAAGGGAAAGAATAAAGCAGGAAAAAGCATGCAAAATGTTGGAGACAGGGTTGAAATTTTAGGTAGGGTGGTCAGGAAGGCCTCAACAGGTGTGTGACTTAGTGACGACCTGAAGGAATCAAGCCTCCTTGCAGATCAGGAGAGGAGAACATTCCAGGCAGAGGCACTGCAAGTTGAGAGGTCCCATGGGGCAGCAGGGAGGCCTGGGTGGTTGGAGCAGGGTGAACAAAGCTGGGTGTGTGTAGTAGACTTGGCGAAATATCAGGGAGCCAGACTGAGGACAGCTTTTATGTAAGGACTGTTACCAGGAGTGAGAGGTGAAGTCGTGGGAGTTTTGAGCAGAAATTTGACATAATTTCACTTGAGTTCTGATAGAGTCACGTGGGGCCAGCCAGTGGGAATAGACACAAGTTGGATTTCGCACCCTCAGTGCTGATTACCGTTTGCAATAGAGGTCTCTCCTATTCCCTGTAGCATGTTTGGCAGCATGCGAGCCTTCTCCCACTAGACGCCAGTAACACCTCCTTTCCCCAGTGAGAAATCCCCAGAATTGTCTCCTTCCCCAACCGAAAGTGCCCCAGATATTGCTCATGTGGCAAAATCACTCCTGGTTGAGAATAACTGGTCTAAAAGAAGCAAGGGAAGAAGGGACACTGTCAGGAGGCCACTGGAATGTTCTCATTTAGAGATTGTGTGACTTGTTACCAGGGTGGTGGCAATGGGTAAGAGTGAGCAGTGATTGGATTCTGGACATATTTCCAGGTAGAGGTCGCAAGTTTTGCTGACCGAATGGCTGTGGAGAATAAGAAGAAATGAGGTTGACTCACATGGTTTTTGCCCTGAGCATGGATCCTTAATTCTGAAAGGATTAAATAAGTAAATAGATGCAAAGCATCTAGCACATAGTGAGTAGCATGTGTTAGCTGCTATTATAGTTACCAACAGCAGTGTTCATGGCTAATAAACATTTGCTAAGTGCAAATGTTTAGAATAGAGCTGCCATGAACTAAAATAGGACTGCCCGAAGGAGGTGAGGGGACGGGAGGAGCATCACGTGCAGTTTTGGATAAACAAGTCTGAGGGCTCAGGAGCAAGGTCTCAGCTGGAGATGGTACAGAGTCCATAGTGTGGAGGTGTGGTTTGAGGTGGCGAAACTGGTTGAGATTACCAAGCAAACATGTCAAAGGAAAGATGTTCAAAGGTTGAGTCCAGAGTCCCCTCTGTGTTTAGAAATCAGGGAGATGAGAGGAACAAGGTAGAAGGTCAAGGAGCAGAGAGGTGGAAGGAAGGGGAGCGGGGTAGAATCCGAGTGAGGAGGAGGGTGCTGAGCTGGCGCCTGCTGTCAGGTCACGTAGGAGGAAGCCCAGTAATTGATGCAGGGGCCTGGTGAGGTGAGGACACTGATGGGTTTGAGAAGCACATTCCACAGGGTGGGGTGACAGCCTAACTGCAGCCAGAGAGGAACTGCAGGGAGGAGTTAGGGCTACCATGTACAGACTGTCTTTTTTTGAAGCTACAAAAGGATTTACTGAAGATGTTGTTTGCCTTTTTTCTAGTATAAATATTTTTAAAAGATCATGAAGTACTTAAAAGAGAGGCTGAGGAGTAAAGAAACCTGAAGCTAGTGTTGGAGCCAGGGCCCTTGACGACAGCTCATAAGAAAATAAAGCCTACTTTATTATGATTGTGGATAATATGCTTGAGAAGATCCTCCATGTCTTGGGTATCACCTCCATTGTCTCAGCCGGCACAGGGACCCCGGTGTCTTAGGCCACGCTCTCCTGAGGCCCAGCTGCCACCTCACAGGAGCTTGCAGGCTGCATCATTGGGCTCAGAGCAGAAGAGCGAGCCTTGGACTTGGAGGTCGGACAGATCTAGGTGTGCACGCCCAGCTCTGACACCACCTACGGTCCTGAGCAAGTTGTGGGAGCTCTCGGGGTCTCCCTCTGATCACTTAGGAAATGAAAGAAATAGTCTCTATTATGCTGGGTGGTTGTATTTGAGAGAATGTGTGTTGAGCACTTAGCAAATGTTTATTAGCCATGAACACTGCTGTTGATAACTAGAATAGCAGCTAACACGTGCTACTCACTATATGCTAGATGCTTTGCATCTATTTACTTATTTAATCCTTTCAGAGATACTGGGAGGTAAGTATGTATTCCCATTTTATGGATGAGGAAACTGAGGTACAGTGGTAGCTTCATTTAGTGTTATTATTAGGAAGAATAAATAGATACACATCATACATCTGAAAGAACCAGAAAGTACTAATTTATATAGGAAAAATAATTCTATTTCAAATATAACGTGAAGTCATTTTTTTAAAAGAATTATTTTATTTAACTTTATTTATTTATTTATTTTTAATTTGACCCCAGAGAGGGACAGAGCGAGTGAGCAAGAGAGAGAGAGAAAGTGAAACAGCAAGCCTCCAGGTCCGGGACTCGAACCACAGTCGACTATGTGAGAGTCCAGTGCCCTTAACCACCATGCCATCTGCCAGCCCCAGATATGAAGTCATTTTTTTTTTTTTTTAATTTATTTTTTTTGGAGAGATTTTCACTGTAGGGCGCGTGCGCTCGCCAGACAGACAGAGAGAGACATAGAGACAGAAAGCGAGAAATCACCCCCCAGGGGGGATGGTCACGCCGCAATCCCTTCTCCTCCATTCTCCTCTCGGGATCTTGGGCACGCACGCACACGCGCCCGGCATGAGTTTTAAGCCACCAGGTCCGGGACACGAACCACGGTCGACTACGTGGGAGTCCAGCAACACAGCCATTACGCTAACTGCTGGTTCCCATATGAAGTCATTTTTAAAGGAACTCTGTATGTCTAGTTTATTTTTTAAATGAACAGTGATTTGGAAAAGTGTTCATCCAGCGGCAAGTCGCTGGCAGCATATTAGATTGGATCAGGGACTTTGAAGGTAAGAAGAGCCATTCGTCTATGTTTGGATTTCAATTCTACCACCTCTTAACCTGGGGGTTTGGATAAGTTACATAAAAATCCCTGGGCTGCTACAGTTGTAAAGTAGGAGTGAAACTGCAATAAGGGTCAATGTGGTCTTAAATAGGACGGTATTTTATAAGGCTCCTAGCATGGTGCCTGGCATGTAGTTAGTGCTCATCAGGACTCCCTCTCCCTTGCTGCCTCTTCCCTCCTACACTTAAGCATACCAGAGGTGTGTGTGTGTATGTTAAAGAATTATTTATTTTTATTTGTTGTTGTTATTATTATTTATTTTTAGTTTTTTTTTCATTTGACCAGAGAAAGAAAGGGAAAGCAAGAAAGCAAACCACCAGGTTCCAGGACTTGAACCACAGTTGGCCATACGGAAGCCTCCCAACCCTTTCACCACCTGCCAGGCCCCTGGGATGTGTTTTAATTGAGTCAATGATTTGGTACCTTACACATCTTGCATCTCGTTTGTCACAGAAAGTGCATTAGAAATGTCACTATAAAATGCAATCATGGGGCCAGCAGGTGGCATGGATATTAAGGCATTGGATCTCACATGACCAGCTGCATGGTTTGAGTCCTGGACCTGGCGGCTTGAAAATCACACTGGTGTGTGTGCACACATGCCCAAAATCCTAAGAGGAAACTAAAGGACAGGGTATTATGATATGACCATCTCCCCATCCAGGGTGTGATTTCTCACTTTCCCCTTCTCTCTCTTTCTCTTTGGTGAATGCATGCGCCCTATAGCAAAAATAAAAACAAAAAAGTAACCGTGAATGGCTAAATGAAGTACCTTCTCTGTACCTTGTTCTGAATTTCATTTCTGGAGAGGTCAACAGGAACAGTTGAGACAGACTCTTGTCTCTGACTTATCTCTAAAACCTATGCAAACACACTAGGATCAATCCAGGGCTTCACCGAAGTTTCTGTCGTTCTTTAGCTGGGCTGGGTTACCAATTCCTCTTGGTGTCATGCAGTTCTTCCCACAGGAAGCCTTTGCTTCATGTGCATGCTCATGTGTGTATGTATGTGTGCACACGTGTGTGTAAGAGAGAATATAACATTTAGCTTTTTTATTCCTTTTTATCCTTATCCAAAAACCTCAGCTATAACATGTTTGGACACTTCAAGTTCTGCATTACTTTATTTGGAGGGTATGTTTTATTTAAGGATCCTCTGTCAATTAATCAGGGTCTTGGCATTTTATGTACATTGTTTGGAATTCTCGCCTATACCCACTTTAAACTCAGTGAACAGGAAGGAAGTAAGACTAAACTGGTACAGCGTCCTTAATTGCGTTTTTGTGGAGAGATGAAAGTTGCTTCAAGAAGATAAGCAGTATTGTTAAGTTTCAAATTATTTTTAAAAGGAAAAGAAATGAATTGAAAGAGTTGCAGGAAGTAATGCAAAGGAAATTTTATTTATAATTTTTTGAGAGTTTTTTGCTGTAGGGCGCGTGCGCTCGCCAGAAAGACAGAGAGAGACAGAGAGACAGAAAGCGAGAAACCACCGCCCAGGGAGGATGGTCACACCACAGTCCTCTTTCCTCCATTCTCCTCTTGGGATCTTGGGCACGCACACACACACACACACACACACACACACACCTGGCGTGAGTTTAAGCCACTAGGTCCAGGACTTGAACTGCAGTTGGCTACATGGGAGTCCAGCAACATAGCCATTACACGAACTGCTTGTCCCAGAAATTTTATTTATAATAAGAATTCTTTTCAGAGTCCCTTTTTTTAAACAATTTGCCAAATAAAAATGTTCATGTTTCTCTTTTCTTTTTAAATTTACTGGAAGGCACGTGTGCTTGCCAGGGAGAGGAGTGAGAGAGAAAGCACCCCCCCATGGGGGGTGGCCATGCCACAATCCCTTCTCCTCCACATGTCTGTACAAGATTTGGTCATGCATGCATAAGTGTCTAGCATGTTTTTCAAGCTCCTCCTCTAGGATTCAAACTACACAGTAGGCCACGAATAGCAGCTGCCTTAAATACCACGGCACCATCTGACCCTTATTTCTCTTCTCAAAGGTGATTATATGAAGTATGCAAAATGATTTGGTAATACCAAATGAAGTACCCAAAATTAATATTCTATAATAATGACAAAGGAATTTGTGTTATTTTGTACAAGTGTGTTGTGGTTTTTCAGTGTTCATAGTCTTTTAAGATTGAACACACAGGTCTTCTCCACTAGCCAGGGGATGATTTAATAGTGTAACTCTTACTACAATTTTGGTCAAAGTGGTCAAGTCACAATTTGAATCTATTACTAGATTTCATTTACAGCAATGAAATATAATTTACAGAAAGCAAAGTATAATAGAGATGATGACTGAAAGACAAAATCCAATTCTAAAAATACCATTTTTCTAGAGAATTGTATGTAAGAAACCATTCATTATCCAAAAAAAAAAAAAAGACAGTGTTTATAGCTCTTCTCATGCTCTCTCTCTCTCTCTCTCTGGCACCCTATAGCAAATTATAAAAAAAGGGAAAAAAAATTGCAGGAAGTAATGCAAAGGAAATTTTATTTATAATTTTTTGAGAGTTTTTTGCTGTAGGGCGCGTGCGCTCGCCAGAAAGACAGAGAGAGACAGAGAGACAGAAAGCGAGAAACCACCGCCCAGGGAGGATGGTCACACCACAGTCCTCTTTCCTCCATTCTCCTCTTGGGATCTTGGGCACGCACACACACACACACACACACACACCTGGCGTGAGTTTAAGCCACTAGGTCCAGGACTTGAACTGCAGTTGGCTACATGGGAGTCCAGCAACATAGCCATTACACGAACTGCTTGTCCCAGAAATTTTATTTATAATAAGAATTCTTTTCAGAGTCCCTTTTTTTAAACAATTTGCCAAATAAAAATGTTCATGTTTCTCTTTTCTTTTTAAATTTACTGGAAGGCACGTGTGCTTGCCAGGGAGAGGAGTGAGAGAGAAAGCACCCCCCCATGGGGGGTGGCCATGCCACAATCCCTTCTCCTCCACATGTCTGTACAAGATTTGGTCATGCATGCATAAGTGTCTAGCATGTTTTTCAAGCTCCTCCTCTAGGATTCAAACTACACAGTAGGCCACGAATAGCAGCTGCCTTAAATACCACGGCACCATCTGACCCTTATTTCTCTTCTCAAAGGTGATTATATGAAGTATGCAAAATGATTTGGTAATACCAAATGAAGTACCCAAAATTAATATTCTATAATAATGACAAAGGAATTTGTGTTATTTTGTACAAGTGTGTTGTGGTTTTTCAGTGTTCATAGTCTTTTAAGATTGAACACACAGGTCTTCTCCACTAGCCAGGGGATGATTTAATAGTGTAACTCTTACTACAATTTTGGTCAAAGTGGTCAAGTCACAATTTGAATCTATTACTAGATTTCATTTACAGCAATGAAATATAATTTACAGAAAGCAAAGTATAATAGAGATGATGACTGAAAGACAAAATCCAATTCTAAAAATACCATTTTTCTAGAGAATTGTATGTAAGAAACCATTCATTATCCAAAAAAAAAAAAAAGACAGTGTTTATAGCTCTTCTCATGCTCTCTCTCTCTCTCTCTCTGGCACCCTATAGCAAATTATAAAAAAAGGGAAAAAAAAAGAAACTATTAAAAAATTAACATACAAAAACAAATTATGACAAATAATTGAGATGATGGATATGCCAATTATCCTGAAGGAATCATTACGCAGTGTATTTTTGTATTATAAAGTCATCTTGTACCCTCAAAAAACATGTACAATTATTATGTTAGTACATTTTTTTTTTAATCAAAATAGATATGTTGAAATAGCTCAAAGAAAAACACTATAGATAGAATCAGTAACTGCTTTCTGGCCTCTTTGAGCGTGTCATATTGGAAATTTCTTCTTATGACCTCCCTGCGGTCCTTCCCTGTCCTCCACATTTGAGACATCCATGGGCTTTCTTTGGCATTGAAGACTTCGGAGTAAACTGAGTTCAGCCCTTCTGAGGAGGCTGAAGAAAATTCTTATGCAGCAAATCAAGGCATATGCTATTCAAACAGAAGGCCAAAACTTGGTGAAAATATAAGGAAAGATTTGCAACAGAAGTAGAGAAATAGTTCATATTTAATCAGTCCCAGGAATTTTTGAAGAGATCATTTTTAAAATTTTGAAGTATGGGGGAAATCCATGTTTTCTGCTTAAGGAATGTAGTATCACATGTCTAATTGCAGAGCGTATTTCTGCCTTCCAACTCCATGGCATCTGAATATTACAATTGTTGATAATTTCACACTGCAAACTGAGGCAGATCATTTTTCTTACAGTAACTAATTCTCCCAATC